AACTGTTGAGCAACTAAATATTTGACAGATTGGTCAAAAACATAATTTTCCTTCCCTATATCTGCCCAGAGATTGATTGGGCAGGCTTGCTGGTCAAAACAGGCTGACCTCACAGATATAGGACATGCTGCAGTCCTTTTATTGATTAATAATGGTGACAGAAGCTGACAGGTACAGATGAGACATGCCAAGGGACAGCATCCCTCAGTAATCCCCCCTCTCATAGGTGGAAATGGATAGGATGTCATTCCACAAAAAATAGGGGGTAAGACTCTAATATATGCATGTGTGTTTATTATCACATAGCCGGTAAATTGGCTATAACATACAAGCTGCATAAGACCTGACTGTAAGGTTTGATCTACTCAAACCAGGATAGATCCCTACTCTTTTTGAAATTGAAAAAAAAGCGGACCTTGAAAGCAGCAGAGATATTCCTTCATGTGGGGGTGTATGAAAGATCTACTTCCGGTAAATTTAAGTAGACCGAAACAAAAGAGCATCCGCCCACAGAATCAATTGTTAATCAGTACCATGATTGAGGTGAAGAGTGTCATTTTACATCCTCCCACACAAGGACACGGTCAGACACTCTATCCTCCCCTTCTGACTGGAATCTGCGCTGCTCCCTTCCAGTCGACCTCTATTTGTCAGCTGGGATTCCGTAAAGTGGAGGCGCTTCGGTGGTAAAAGCTTAATCGCTAAAGCCGTTGTCGACTGTAAGGTGCCATGCATGATAAGAGAAGCGCGCTGTGGAAAGGATCGTGCATGGAAGTGGCGTATGGAGATTTATGTATTAGTGGTGGTGGTTCTTTGCAATTGAAGATGATGACTGTCAGTGTCCTCATTCATGGAGGGTCTGACCTCATGTGGCTTCTGAGTCCAAATCTTAAGGCACACAGTCATCCACATTTGAACAGAATAGAATACATGTAACGAACAGAACAGAAAAAGTACCCAATACTGAGCACATCATGTCCTAAATTGATGTGGGATTTGTGTAAAAGAGCAAAACTTCAAACATGTACATCACAGTCAGTACATGTACACCGTACTTTAAACATGTGGGTTTTATGCTCAATGGACACAAAACAATAGAATTAGCCAAAGTAAAATTATCAGCAACAAGCAAGGCTCCCTCTTGCTACATTTACACATTAATTTTAAAAGTCATATTTCCAGTTTCTAGCTTGGGATGCAATTCTTGCATGATAAAGTGTGGTTGCCATGCTAAGTTAATTAATTTACCATTGATTTTCTTCACAGCTGCAGTCTCTATGCGTGTACCATTCAATATTTCAGCACCAAGGTCATACCTCATGTTGTGTTTATCATCAGGACTCTGTAATACACAACATGCTTTGGCAGTGCTTCAAATATTTTTTTCTGCATACCTGTACTGGTTCAGGTGACATTGAAAATCACCTACACCTGACAAATTCCACCTGTATTTCTCACTGTAAACTATTGCCATTGCATTGACAAACTATGTCTCTTGTGCAGTCGTAACATAGCCCAAAATTTCCAATACTTTCCTTCGATATTAACGTGCACGGACTAACTCCGCAAGATCTGCATTGATCGCAACCCTACCAACTTGAATATAAGTGTTTATGTATTCTGCTGTGTGTGGGAGAAGGCAGCCACTGTAATCCTGGTATGGATTGGGTCTATCAAAGTCCAGTCAGCTCTCCTGGCTGAGCTGTAATCGTACCTCAAAGGCTTGTGACGTCCAGGGGCCTCCCGTAGGGGTCTGGATTATCTATAAGTAAAGCACTCCAGGTCTTCCATTCCACCTATATAATTTCTGTGATGGTACATGTACTTGTTCTAGTAGGGCTCAAAATTTGGACTGTGCACAATGTAACCTAGAAATTTTGGTGGACAGAAAAATTTTGGGTGCACAACAGAAAATGATGTGAAATAAATGAACTCAAATTATTTTTCATACCATCCTCCAACCTTTCAGTCTCCACCCTTTGCTGGAAATTGAAATTCCATATCCCAAAGTTCTGCACAGTTGTGATTTATTTCCAACTGCCTAGAAATGATAGCTGAAATGGTTATCATCCTCCATGGAGGTTGTAACATTTCCATCACAGCCTTGCTTGGAGCAGAAACATGCAAGATGATGAGAAGGCCAGTTATTAAGATGTTCTTATTACTAGTTATCTTGCAGTGTTTCTGCTGACCAGGGAGCCCTTAAGGTTGTGATATAGAAATTGGTCAAGTGGAAGAGATGAACATTGAGATTTAGGGTGGGGCCTTTATGGCAGACTTACAATGATGGCTGTCCCACGGGACACACTAGTTATCTGTCATCAGAGAAAGGCTTGTTTCTAGGAAAGGCTAGGTGATGTAGCATCTTGTAATCTGAAAGTAGTCCCAAGACATTACATCTAGCAGCAGTAGTATACATAATAATAAGTAGTGCAAGTAGTAGATTACTAGTAATAGTAGTACTCTAATTACTGTAAACCTAGAAAGGTTTGCAGTGGCTTTATTTTCATGGTTTAAGTGGCATCCTCTAACAATAACTGACTGTACTACTGAATTGTTTCAACCCTGAATTTAAAAGACCATGAAAATCCCCTTTTCCCTCTACCATGAAGTAAAATGAATCGACAGTAATTTGCAGCCAAGTTAGAATGGCCTTGTACTTTGCAGTGGAATAAGAATGGCCTTGTACTGTCCCATTTGGCCATCATATCCTGCATGTTCAAATTCAATTCTATGCCTCCTACACAAAGTGCAGTCAGGTCACCGGGTCTATGGAGAAATCAAGACTATATCCAATCTACTCACATCAGAATCAAACTTTGACATGAATGAATGACACAATAAGATTGCATGCAATACTATTGCTGCCACAATAGGGCTGAATCGAGGCATGACATATCATTAAAATGTCTTTTATCGGGGACAGAATATTACTGATACAGTGTAGTTGCAGAGGTCTCAAATTAACAACTATTAACTAAGTACCAAAAAAAGACTTACATTAACGAACTATAAATACAATTAGAGCGGAAACATAATTCAAGATCGTGAGTGAAGATGGGCAGCAATATGCAGCAATATGTAAAAATGTATAAAAGTAATCTAGCCGACATTACAGAAGCCCATTATGGATAGATTAAGGCAATGGTTCAATGTTAGCCCTGATGAGATGCAGGGTAATGGGATCTCCTGTGCATCTGTGGTAAAACATACTTCATCAGAACTCCTGCTGGGGTGGATCAACCCTGGCGACCCATGGGCTTCCCCTGCAGATGTCTGAACTCACAGGCAAATCCCTCGCTTAACTAACTGCCATTACAGCTGGGATGGGGGGATACATCACTGACTCTGCCTGGCATTTGTCTTTGGGGCAGCGATAAGGGAATTGGGTGTATCTAAACAACCCTATACGAAAATGAACTACAGACTACGAACTCCAAAAATGAACCGCAAACAAAAGAATGGAGAGGGACCTGCGAACTGGAAGGATGTAGAGAGACTGGATGTTGACAGAACCTGCTGGACCACTTTGATTGCCTCATGTGTTGGAGAGCACAGGAGACCCTAAGTCTCAGTCTGTATGGGAACTAGATTTTCCTAAATAGCAATTTCCTGATGAAATGATTGCATCAGCTGTCTGTTAAAATTATCAGATAACTGTGCTGCCCAATATCAGCCATTGCTGCTTGGGTTAAGCTCACTTTATCGCAATGTTGCGATTCCAATGAAATAAAAATGAAACTAGAGTTCCCCGATCTCATACCTTCGCCAAATGATGTTAATCTTTATGACTGACAAATTATAGATTAGATTAGTCCCCCCTCGATTAAGAAATAGGAACCTAATTTTCATGAATTATATCATTTTATCATAATCTCAACCAAAAGACAGTCTTATATTAACAAACAATGCATTCTAGCATTTCCTGATAAATTATGCAAATGAGGTCCTGATTTGAATAAATTATGTTTAATGATGTTCACCTCAACTAAACTTTCAAATACCACAAGTATGAAACTCCAGGCAGTTATCATTACATAATTATAAAACTTTCTCATTAATTATGCAAATTAAGTCATTATTAACATAATCAATATCTTCCTGTGTTTCTCTCGTTGTCAATTACCAATGTCACAAGCTTCAATTGTCCTATCATGGAATGCAGCTGATTTATAGAATTTCCCCATAAATTATGTAAATTACATCCATATTTGCATAATTGTCACATAATTATATTAAACATCACGTAAGCTACCTACATACCAAAAATCACGACGATCCGTCAAACAGTTCTTGAGTTATCCCCTTTTGAATAATTTCAAGAATATATCCCTGCAGTTCCAGAGCAAGCCGCTAGGGGGCCCAAACTCACATCACTTCTTCCCCAGCACGAGAACTACCTACCATCCAAATTTCATCACCATAGCATGTCTAGATCATGAGATATCAAAACCGGAAGTTCAGCTGCAGTACCATAACAAGCCGCTAGGGGGCCCAAAATCTAATCATTTTGAGGTCTCATCAAGACCTACCCACCTACCAAGTATCAAGACGATCCGACAAGACCTTCACAAGTTATCGTGTTTACAGACAGACACACACACACACACACAAACACACACATACACGAATGCCCCTGAAAACATAACCTTCTTGGCGAAGGTAATTATCAGTTTAGCCCAGATGCATTGCAGGTAATATGTCAAAGGTACCTAACTTGTTCATTGAAGACAAGAAATGAAATAACATTTTCTGTAACCTTCTGATGTGCCAAGCATGTAGAAATAACTACAGAAATACAAGCAAATGCACAGATAGGCAAACAAAAACAAACTTTGAGGGAAAAATATGTTCAATTGTAATATCCAAGGATAATGCTTTCAAGTTGAATGTTTTGATTACAGTACTACTGTCTATGTTTTGTACAACTGTGTATGCCACCACAAACAGTATTCAACCACCTTTTCTCAAAACTGTTCTCTTTTGTTTTTGTCTTCCAGAAAATTGACACAATGGACGAGCTGTCGATTGAGTTGATAACTAAAACCAAGGAATACCTGCAGCCCAACCCAGGTGAGTTAGGGGAGACGCCTGGCAGCAGTCAAGGGTATTGCAACTGAGAGGAAAACACAATGTGCCAGTGCATGATTGAGATGGGTGGAGATGTTTTGTTTCAAAATCAATGTCTTAAGAACACAATTTTGTCTTAGGAAGATAATTTTCACCGTAGACCAGAAAAGAAGGGTCTTGGACTAATCTCTGCAATATTTATAGATCTACAATCCATCTGCAATATTGATTTACTTCTTCCATATGGTCTAGTATTGATTATTTTGCCCTACTTTGCTGCATGATGATTTCTGTACTTAGCTGTTCTTATGTTTGCAGGTCTGAAACTCAATTACTCTATTTACAATGTACTTCTTCTAGACGTACATGGACATGTTTCTAAATACTACACATTTCTGACAAACATACAGTGATGCTTTTTTTGCTAACCAGTTACTTACTGACCTGCATCAAGAAAGACTCTCATTTTCCAGCTTCCCACAAACACATGTACATTTTTTTTTATTATTCTCTGTATCATGGACACAGCCTATAACTGCCAGACTAGTACAACATTGTGATGACAAAATTTATAGTCTTATTTGTCAGATGCAAATAAGACAACAGATGCCTTGTAGTAAATTGTAGCAAATCACAGCAAAATAAGTTATTGAATTTCTATCAGATCCGGTCCAAAGGCCTGATGTGACTAGAATTCCTTATAGTGGACTTCAAAGTAATGAAGTAATGTTAAGTCTCAACCTATACGCATTGGTTTCTTCACTTTTGATTGTACCAATCTGGCATGTATGGCTTTATTACCTGCACTGTGCTCATGTGTGTGTTTGTTGTACCTGTCTGCTGTGGCTTTGTAATCTTTGAACATTCACCATTTTCTTTTACAAATGTGCTGGCCCCTTGCGCAGCAGGTAACACAAAGCTACATTGTATTTTTGTAAATGAAAGCCTTGCACTGTCTTTTAGTTACTCTCTGCACAACATTGTAGAGTAGAGAATGACACTCCATAGCTACGACTCCGTTTCCTGGTCTTTGCATTGAAAGAAAGGAACAGACAAAGAAACAAATGCTGACATACTAGCTACAATGTATATTCTACAATACCTGGAATGCATGTACCAGGGTCTTTATAATTTTTCATTGCCCTGGAACTTTAAACTTCAGCTTGCTGACTTGATTTTTACTCGCTTAGTCCCTTCTTTATGATTGGCACCAACTTTTGACAATTGTAAATCCTTTCAATTCAAATTTCCAACAGGCTATCATATACTATGTAAGGACTGGTTAACGTAAAGAGTACAGTATTAGAGCCTAAAATGGTAAAATGGTAATAGTGGACTATAATAATTGTCCTGTCAAGTTATTCTTTAGGTTGCAAAAGCCAAGGAACTGTTCAGGAACTGTAAACATCACCTTTAATCTTAGTAATAGACTAATATAGGCTCTCTATGTAAAAAAATAATACTACATGTAGTTGGACATTGCATTGTCAATGCTACAGAAATTAACGACAAGCCACATTTTCTAATTTTGTTTGTATGTTGCTGTAACACCCATAGGGTAATCTACTTTATAAAGACAAAATGTGCAAAGCCATCTGTATCATATGATGTCTAATCTGTGATCATTACTACACAATTATTCCTACATTAATGACACTGGTTTCCTTGGGGCACTTTGTTCTTCCCTTCAGCTTCTCGTGCAAGACTTGCCGCTCAGAACCAGTTTTCTAAAATCCGCGGCCAGGCCCGGACCACCCAGTACCCACAGCCAGAGGGCACCCTGGGAGATGTCATGATCAAATACGGCCGAGAGTTGAGCGAGGGCTCAGTGTCATCAGAATATGGTAGGTTTTAACCTTCTCCATGTTACCTATCCTTAGCAGTCTGAAGGTTAAGCAGCTGGTCATCAGCTGCAGATATGTAGTCAAGTCATAAAGAGGAAGGACATGAAAGTATGTGTTTTCTAACGACTAAAGACATGTACCATCTTTAAAACTATGACGGCTAAATATCCAGGTAGAAGATTATGTACTACAAAATGAACCAAGCAACAACATTGTAGTACATGTACTGCATAAATTTTCTGAAGAGTCAGACATTCCTGATGGCGTCTGCTATATATCAGTGACTAAGAAATGATGAAAAATAGTGAATGATTCATTTTATATCATGTCAAGTTCTACCATTATTAGTTTATGAAATATTACACTTGTCATGATTTGAAAAGATGACACTAAGGATATGGAAAGTCTAATTAACTTTAACCTATATATTCTTCATGTTGCCAAATACACAGTAATATTTCATATGTCACTGCATTTTTATAGTTTCAGAGATATTACCCATGAAACTAAATTGGATATTCATATTGCCCTCTCAAATGTGAAGAGACTTATACTTGTATGTTAGAATTCTGTATGTATTGAAAATGACAGTACTGCTTGAACAAATATAACAAATAAGAATCCATCTGACTGTCTCTTTGTTTGATTGTCAGAATTTGACAGATGCTGATTGAACTGAACATTTATAGAGTCTTTAATTTGATTTATTTCTATTCCATTCCTGTCTATTGTGTATTCTTGCACGTTTTTCAACTTCGTGTCAGCCCAAGTGCAGTTTGCTGGTCCAGAACAGAATGGCAGCTTTATAAAGCATGGCACACTGTCAGTACAGCCTGATCATGAATACATCATGCTTCTAGCAGCCCTTCCATTGGTCAGGCCTCCAGAAGCTTTATGACCAACACCTCTAAGTCAGGAGAAATGGGAACATGTTAATCCTGTTGATTTCTGTGCTAACATGGTCCAGTTATTCTCAGAATGAGAACTCTACATGTATGTTACCATGGTGTTGTAGGCTGTGATGACTGGTGTCCATAGTGACAGAATCCTGAGTTCCTATTGGAGTTATTTTCATAGTGAGCTCCTATTGGTTTTTAAGTAGTTCTGGAAATGGGACTGGTTCTCTTGAGTTTGAGGTGTATGATCACAATTGCAAGCTCTTAAGAATGAGGCCCTTACAGCCAGAAATTGTGTACCACTGGCTATTACTAGTAACTATTGGCAGCAAAATTCATTTCTAGATTGAGATGAACATTTTACCGAGAAGTGCTTGTTGGCAGTTGAATGAAAGAAATGTTGTGCTTCCAGGAATATGAATTTGTTGTCAGAAAGTGAGTTTTACAATTAAGCCTTGCTGTTTCATTGACAGCAAAAAAAGCTATAACTACAAATGTGTTAATTTTTGGAAACCATGAAGCATGTAATAATGAATGGAAAGGCTCAGTTTGAGTGTGATGCCTTTCTCTTAGATGAATTGATGAGAATGTTGGATGGGATTTTCAGGACTTCCAAAATTTGCAAAGGAAAATAACCAAATTTGAACAAATGGAACAGGCCAAAATTGTCCTTCAGTGGGAAATTCTTTTGTCAGTAAAAAACATCAGTGCCAAATATGATAGATTTTCTTGTGACCATCCAGTAAAATGTACTTGGCTTACATCAACCTCTCTTCCTTATGCTGAAAACCTCTTCTCATTCTTTTTTTCCATGTTATAATGCAGATTGGAGAAACTATGGTATGTATTTTCACCATGTTTGTTTCTTACACCCCATAGTGCAGGTGTAACGGTAGCAAGCATTCAGGACTCACCTGTCTTCTGCTGGTGTATTGTAAAATACTGTCAGAATTGACACTCAACACAAAAGTTTGGAAAGATATTACTGTATTTTCATGGTTTGGAGTAGCACATCGGCAGAATGCACTGCGCCTGCGTAAAACACAGATTTTTCATGGTTTTCGTTGGATGTTTGGTCAACATTACACGAGAATTTTGCTTGTGGCAGACGATATCTTTTCCAAAACAAAATTTGAAAACTACAGATGGAATGCCATCCTTGAATACACAGATATGACCTTAAATGAGACATTCTGTTGAAATACAATTATTATGATAATGCATTGGATTTTGGCTTGAAAATCAACTGACCTACCCCATGGCAAAGTCTCTTACTTTGTACATCTCTGTATCTCCAGGAACCATCTTTTACCTCAACCTGTATAACCTTTCTTCTCTGTACAAGCCATCAAATTAAACAGCAGTGTATTCATTTCCTTCAGTAAACAAATCAGTCTTGCATCTTTAGGTTTAAGTAGAAGAAAGATGGGTGAGTCCTGATGGTTAGGTGTCAGCAGATATTAACATGTAGGTGATATGTAGCCATCTTGGCACTTAGACATAATGCAGATAGATGCTGCAACTCGTGCATGGCATTAGGCAAGGCAACTATTGGCTGGAGCAGCTATACTTCAATATATATTATGTACATGTGTGTTGCATGAACATAGCAGAAGCTTTGCTTAGGTTAGAGGAGCTAGAATGATTTGGAATTTGCAATTTTATTTGCAAAGAATGGTGTTGTTTTTGTATCAGTTTGCCATATTCCACTGGACAACATTTTCTACCAATAAGTTGTTATTGTTGAGCCCTGCTAAATGTCACAGTAGCTAAGATATTAAGCGTTGTACCATGTATATGGTACTGTCCTTTTGAGATGACTTTCACATATGACACAGGTATAAATTCCTGTCCCTGACTCAGTGAATATGAATTCAAAGGCAGGCGTTGCAGTATGCTGAGAATTTGGAACATGGACACATAATGGATATCAAAGATGACAATCACATCTGTAGAGCAGTGTCATTTAAAACAAAATGACTCTTTTTGATAATGCTTCAGTTATGGAAGGAATACTTAACAGAAAGGACATTTTTGTTTCTTTAGTGAACGTATAATTCCCGACATAATATGTCACTTAGATATGTTCAGATAATGCAACACTTCTAATCAGTTATGAGTTGTCCTTTCCTGTTCACAGTATAAAACCATTAGTATCCACATGACATTGTGTTTTTGAGTTAGGAACTATTTCGGTAACTGTTGCACATGTAAAGCATGGATATGACAGTTTTTGAATGTTTGACTGCCGGCCAGAATGCCAAGAACAACTTTGAACTTAACACTTGCATACAAATGACATATTCATTTGACAATGCACAAAATGTATATGCAAAAGACTTAATGAAGATAAATTGATAATTTGGTTACTGGTACAGGATTAAACATGACAGTAGTATAACATGAAGTAGGTTTTGTCTTCTTTTCCTACATGCATGCACTTCTATGCCCTGAAAGCTTTGAAAATTATCTGTCCTCTTCTCAATTAATTATCAAGAACCTAATCACACTTTTGAGTAATTGGACTAATTGGACATGTGAAAAAAATGATTAAACAATATAAATATATCAATCATTCCATTGCATACACAATCATCAATACAAAAAGGATTCCTTGATGTTGACTTGTACTGAGAGATGTGTGTATCTTATGTGTTAGGTGAGGCCCTGGGAGAGATGGGAGAGACCCTGAAACAGATGGCAGAGGTGAAGTACAACCTGGACGCCACCGTCAAGCAGAACTACCTGGACCCCCTGCAGCAGCTCCACGAGAAGGACATCAAGGAAGTCTTGGTATGGTTTTGTTTGTTTCTTTATTGTGCCCAAAAACACAAAATGAGGACTAGTGTATAGGAATACAAAGTCATGTAGTGCAGAAGGCGAGAAGAAGCCTGAAAAGGTTTATGCTAAACCCTCCCTCATCCTTTAAACCTAACAAAATGCTAATCACGAAAATAACTCTCATAATGAATTAGGAGAACATTGATATAACAAAATTCTAAGACGGATATTGACATATATTATACAATGTGTCAATAGCAATGATAAATAATAACAAGAAAATGCAGTGTAATACTGTTTTGGAGGCTGGACTGTGATTGGTAATTATCCATTCATCGAAGTGCAAATCTTTTCTTTTTCTGTTTTGTATGCATTGAAGCTCTTGACAAGTTCATGGATGTTTTTGTTGTTTTTTTAGCACCATCGTAAGAAGCTTCAGGGTCGACGACTCGACTACGACTGTAAGAAGCGCCAGAAGGAAAAAGGTAGTGGTGTGTACAGGAGTGGATTTTACCAGTCTCTTATTCTTTTACTTTGCTATTTACTAAGCCATGAAAGTGTGCAGATTCCAGGATCTGAATCCAGGAACAGAGGCAAGTTGGTCTTGTGGTTAGGGCTGTTGTATCTAAAGGTTCTTGGTTTGAATCCTACCAGTACCAGGCCCAAATGTTGTGCCCCTATTTTTCACTTGACTCTAAATGAACAAACAAACAAGCAAACAGAATGCAAGTATGTTAATCATATCCTGGAATTTTTCACATTTTCTTTTGAATTGACTTTGTATGATGCAGAAATTTAACGTATGATATCTAACTTTCTATTTTATTCAGTTACTCTTCATATTACACCAATGTTTTAATTCTGTGTTTCTGGTGAGTATTGAACTCCTTACTGTCCTTCTCAAAAGGATCAATCACTCAAACTGATTGATTATTGATCAAAAGAAGGTTGATACCACTCCAGGATTCGGGGGTGGGTGGGATTTGTGATAATAAATTTGTTTGACTGACCTGTTTGTTGGCTTTTTCTGTTGCATTGCACCATGGGATCGACAGGAGGTATGCAACCTGGTAATTATCTAAACAAACCCTCTGGGTGTTGGTGGCAGAGGTGGTGGGTGCACTCTGCACTGAGGAAATTTCAATAAAAATGCTCTTAAATTGCATCTGAAGGCTATAAGTGAAATAAAATTGGACCTCAGCTACATTCAAATGTCCACAATCAGTTGACAGAATAAGAAACACTTTTCCTAGCACCTGGAGTATTTTGCCTCTTGTTGGTTTAGGTTGGTTGTTTTCGTTAATAGACCATTTTTCTAATTTCCACCAGTTTCCACCGACTGTCCTTTAATACACTGTCTTGCTCTTGAAGCTCAATTATGCTCTATTTGCCAAAAAGAACACAACTTCATGTAGTAGCAGATAAGCTTTCTGCTAAAATTGACACTGAAGATTCTGTGTTGGGAAGATAAACCATAGTTACTGTAAGTCCTGCAAAAAAAAAATTAATTAGAAATGAAGCACGCTAGCCCAGCCATTCTGAGCTCACCCTGTTCTGTTTTCTCGTCACTGCTCTTGACAAGCAGGGTCAAAGATCAGCGATGATGACCTGCGGAATGCCATGGAGAAGTTTGAGGAGTCAAAAGAGCTGGCAGAGAACGGCATGTACAACCTCCTGGAGAGTGATGTAAGTTTCCCTGTGTTTTCTGTTCCACATACCTATGATGGCTGAAAAAAGAGATGTTATCTAAGTCTTTCTCACATTTGAGAAAGAGTATAGTAGTACACAGTCTACCATTTAACTATCCCCCTACTGTAGTGATATCCCAGTTTTGTATTGTCTAGGGCTAAAGAAGCAGAGTTGTGTGCTGGCTACTGGTGTGGGAAACACGTTGACTGCTGACATTCTGACTTATGGTTGTTGGAACATGTGTTGAGTTGTTGGAACATGCATGTACATGTAAGGGTGTTGACCTCTTGTTTTTCTCCTGCTGCCAGGTGGAGCAGATCTCCCAGCTGCAGACCCTGGCTAACTCCATGCTGGAGTACCACCAGCAGTCCACAGAACTCATGGAGCAACTCTGCAGTAAACTACAGAGCAGGTAAACCTACCAGTGCACGTTCAGATACCAGTACAGCTCTGCAGTAAACTACAGAGCAGGTAAACCTACCAGTGCACGTTCAGATACCAGTACAGCTCTGCAGTAAACTACAGAGGGGGTAAACTGAACAACGCACGAACAGACACCAGTTAGACAGGAGCCATTTGTAAAACGTCATGGAATTCAATAAGGAAGTCTATTCTGGGCGCCATGTGATTTGTAAGGGGCTCCTTGCATTTGCTTTCGCGCAAGTGAGTATTAGTATAAGGAGCCCTGTTACAAATGCACCCAGACTAAAGGAAGTGTGTGTAAACATGATTCTGTGTTCACCCCCTGCAGAGTTGATGATGCGTCCAGCAGACCCCGCTCTCACCACCGCCCCAAGAAGGTGACGGAGGACCTGCTGGATCACTACAACGGCACCGACTCTACAGACGCACCCCCCGCGTACGCCTCCATCTCTGCAAAGGGTGGGTACAGGCCTCTAGACCTGCTTACAAAGGATATTCTATACTTTGATGCTTGCATGGCTTTTTATTATCTAACATCCCCTTTCCACTAGAGGCTGAGACCGTTGAGTGACCAAAGATTTGAGAGATTGCTCATTGAATGCTATGAATTGTTTGTGTGTTTTGTTGCCTTTTAAATTATGCTTTTGCATCTTGCATCGTATTCCAATTATGCATCTTGCATCGTATCCCAGTTATAAAATCAAGGGTAACACAAATCTAGTTTTGGTTGTTTTATGGTCATGCAACGATTAGGTTCTAGTGGAAAGGTGGCCTAGCATAACAAACAGATAGTGGTAAAATGCTGGTATATGTACAAGTATGCAGTAGCTGCATCATGACCAAAGTCCTGGTGATGAAGAGGCTTTTGTGTAGTGGCACAGTAACCACTTGTTATCTCTAGTTCTATGGAGTGGTTCCATCTCAAATGTTTGTGTAGATATAATCTACATGCAGATGTTGACATGTTACTGGTGTATTCAAGTTGCTGGTTTATGTTGGGTGTATTGAAGGTGTTGGACATATGTAGGTTGCCACTAAGATTGGGTTAAGTACATAAGGGATATAATCGTGGGAGGCTCGATGCAGAGGTCTTGTCACCAGTGCATCATCTTTGTGTATCTATATCCAATTTGACACTGTCTCAGAATTTGATTGAACCTCTGTCCACTGCACAACACTTGTCTGTTCTTCTTCACCCACATCTATATAAAAACAACAAAAGTGATCAAAGTCAAACAGTTGACTATTCAGAGTAATTTTTTTGAAAGCTTATCAAACATAGACCAGTAATTATTTTTGATTCTGCATTCAGAAAAGAATCTCTCAAGAAAAATCTTTCAGGTACAAAATACTGTCTTTGCACCAATCCTCCCTGCACAAGCCTAAGGTGATGCTGTGGTAAGGTATAGGGAAAACTGGGTTGCTGTATGTGTGAAGACTCATTGTTGCATGATGTACATGAACAAGAGATGGACCAGGAAGGATTGTACAAGTGGAGTTGTTTGGAAATGTCCATCCACAGTTCATAATATGTTTGTTCAAAATAAATCAAGTGATAAATTCTATGAAGATTCAGAGTTTTCAGACTGTAGATAGCATCCACTATCCCTCAGCAGTGACCAGTGGCTGTCCATTCTTAGTTCCTGATGAAAGATAGTGGATGCTATGTGAAATGTCAGACTCTTCAGATAATTTATCCAGCTTGATTTATTATGTATTATGTAATGTTCTATCTAGCCTTTTGTTGATGTTCATTCACATTATTTCTAGAGTCAGATTAGTCTTGGTTCTTTCTGTTGTTTTACATTTGCTTTCGTCAACTTTCTTGTGAAATGTCCATTAAAGTAAATCCAGATGGAAGACTTGTTTATTATATAATAATATTTAATTACAGACACATTCCCTTTTACAATCCATCCTGGTCTGTTCCTAACAAAAGTGTTCCTGTCTTGCAACATGAATCTTGCACGTCTCAATGGGTCGTAAGGTTTGTACAGAATACAAGTACTGTAATCATCCATGAAAAAAAACGCAACAGAAAACAGTTTTCCATTGGATCGTGCTTCCTTACTTACAGAACGTACGACTTGGTACGTGGAAACTGATGAAACAGAATCAGGGGATTTGCTGGTGGACACCGCGGCAGCAGGTATCACCAGGGAACTTAGCTCTCCCTCCCACCCACACACAGGCTAACCCTGTAGTGCTCACATGATCACAGTCTGGTCTGTGGTGCCGTGAATGCTGCGCCGAGTCGTAGACTTGGCCACCCCGGCTAGTTTGTGCTGGGGACTTTGGGTTTTATACACCTGTCATTGTACATCCTTATGGGGAGGTGGGGGTGAACAGTGAAGGTGATCTCAAACCAGTTTAGCTCAAATGAACTCATAAAACAGCTGAGGTCCTCTTCAATTGGCCATATTAGAGAAGGCAGACATGGTAAATAGTACATTGTATGTACAGGTTCATTGTGCAGGGAAAATTTCTCTAACTCTTTTCAAAAAGTACTACAAACAGTGGACCACTGCCATGGGGTGTGTAGGTACAAAAGGGGGTTTGATTGCTTAAAATTGTGGGTACAAAAGGGGGTTTGATTCTTGAAAATTTTGCTCTTTGATTCTACCTGACCCACTGAAGATCAAAATCAAGTAATGGTAAACTGCAGCTATACTTGAGTTAAACTCTGTTGAATCTTACATGTAGTTATACAGGACAGTTTTCGAGGTGCCAGTATGATATTCTCAAGTCAAGGGCAGATTATAGGTCATATGTGCCAAATTTGGTGCTTTTTAATCAAAAGTGCAAAACTGAGCTGATTTTTCAAGCTATGCCACTGGACTATTATGATAGGGACTTCTCTAATTGGTCCAGACACAAGGAATGTTATTAAAGGTACATGTACTAATAAATTGGGACAAAGGCAATTTTGCTTCAGGACACCACTCCTTCTGGTGTGCAGTGACAGGTGTATGTGGGGAAACAGGAAAAGCCCCAAGCACAGTCTGGCTCTGTGGTGCACTACCAAGAGACATGTAGTCGCTCTGCTAACCCTGCCATGTGTCACATCTCCACTGACAGCATCTAGACTCAACATACATACACATTTTTGTACAGGCAACAAGAAACAGTACCCTGTTAACTGTACATTATTTGCGAGAAGTTTCTTTCATTCTTACATATCATTTCAGAAGTTGCTTCAAGTGCTTACCTTGGTGGCCAGCCCATTTTTTCTTCCCCCAACATCCAGTATGTTCTTGCAATATTTGTTGGGGTATAATTAGCTGGATGTTGTCGGTGGGATGGAGCCGGCCTGTAGGGTCTAGCAGATGGAGTGAGCAAACCTTTTGTGTTAATGAAATTTGTGGATGGACAGGGTACTGTTTCTTACAGTCCATATATCAATAGACGTTTGTAACCCACAACATGAAATGTGCCATCTCAGTCTGTGGACCATTGCACCTCCAGATAAAACCTCATCCAGACATTATCATCTCATGCGTTGTGCGACTGTCCTCGTACTAATAGCAGTGCCTCTTCTCTTTCATGCCTGACGTTCTCTAGGATCCCGCCACTCTCCCCGCTCCCCAAGCCACTCCCCCTTCCACTCTCCCTACGCCTCTCCCCATGCCTCCCCGCGGCACTCCCCACGTGCCTCCCCCTCTAACTCCCCCTTCCACTCCCCCGTGGCCACCCCCTCGGACTTCCCCATCCAGGACTTCTCCACTTTTGAGGGCCACCTGGCTCCGCCCACTCCGCCCAGGCAGCGCCCACGTATGTAGACTTCTGCACTCTGTGCCGTGGCATCTTGAGATGGGACTTGCACCATCACATGTCTGTTTTCTCTCACCCCCCCCTGAAAAATTACAGTCTGCAGCCAGTGCCTTACAGTTACATGTACACCCCCATGTTCCAACAACTCGACCTATGTTCCAACATCCCTATATTCCGACAATCCTGTGCTCAATCTACAGTATATGCTGACCTATGTCAGAAGGTAAGGGTGTAGGAACATAGGTGAGTCACAACATGATGTAGTAGAAAGCCTTCTCCTTTATTGAAAGTTTGCTGCGCCCTCATTGCAGTGCCAGTAGCTGTCAAAGAAGGCAAACAGTTAAAATATGTAGTATTAACTATAGTACAGTAAACATAAATACAGTACTAGAAAACAGCAAAAACAAATGTAGCATTAGCGAACTAAAGATCTGGCTCCTCTAAAATAAGCTGGATCTTTGCATCTGCCCAGAGATGTTGTAAAAAAAGGAGAAAACTTTGCCAATCATCCACTGTGGAGGCACATGGCTGCAGCAGTCTCTGCACCTTGTACATTGACCTCCTTCATGATACATCCTCCAGCGTCCCCATGCTTGTCTCACCCGAACAGACCCTCCTGTCCTGTGCCTTTGTTTGTGAAACTAGTGTAGAACTAGTCCAGCCAGTAGAGCAGTCCACGACTGTGTGGATTGTGTTGTTGTGGTCTCTACTCACCCCACCAGTAGTTAGCCTCCCTAGCAGGCTTTATGAGTTGGCATTTTATGGCATTTTACTGTAATATGCTTTTTTACAGCATAATCAGTTCTCAGTTTTGTTGTGGATTAGACCTAATCTCCAAGCAGATCTTTTTTGGTGTGTGCAAAACAGTATCAAATTGGCAAGACAGTATCATTGCCAGGACAGTACCCAATATGCATTGGCTAATAAGCCTAAAATGGCCCAAAACATAAGCACAGACACAAGCTCAAACCTTTGCTTGAAGAGTAGGCTAGGTCTAGAAACCAAGTACCAAAACTATCTGCCATTTGATAGAGAAATAGCACATTATATGCCACCAAAAAAAAGCCTGACTTGTAGAGCCTCTTAAGGAGCTAGGCTACCAGTAGTTCTTTTCGATGTTTTAAGATGTTGTGTGCTCATCAACCTGTTAATGATGGATATCTTCCCTGGATATGACAGTGTGTGTGTGTGCATGGAACTGCTGATAGTATGTGTTTAGGTCTTCCTGATATGACCTTCTTGGTTTGCCTTTATTTTACCCTAAGCTGACTGTTGTTTTCTTCTTTTAGTCCACTTCTAGGGTTCAGTAACCATTCTACAGTCTCTGTTTCAGTTGCTGTAGCATACCCAGTGCCTAGTTGACTGGTCATCCTTTATTTCTTTCCCTTTTTTCTTCCTTTGTATTTTCCAAAATTATCCTTCTACATCTGTAGATCCTTACTTTACAAGTGCTGGGAGCAACACCCCAAGTTAGCAGGCGAAGTAGACATACATGTATGGTCTCTAATGCTAAACAACGCACCTGTCCAGTGTCCTTCCTTCAACCTTGAACTCCACTTGATCTGGCCCACACAGATTCTACTGGCAGTTTAAGTCAGTAAAAACAACTGCTGGTTGGGATTTTTCTGGTTTTGGAGCATTGTGTTCTCACAGATCACTATCATAAAGTGACACTCTCTCAAGAGCAGAGTTTGCTACAATAAAACAGTGGAGGATGTAGAAAAAGTAAAATTCCACTGCTGTGAAGGACATAAGAACGTATGTTGTTTGACAAGACCATAGTTATGTCTACTTAAGTGTACTTCATGTGGAATCAAGTCTCAAAAATTGGACAAGTTTGCCTTACCATACATCTCTGTATTCCCTGTAGAACTGTTTTCCTGAAGTTTAGTCTGTTCCATGTATGGGAAATTGGGAATCCGATGATGACAGAATTACTAAGTACAGTGTAGTTAAAAAATATTTTTGCCAGTCATGTACTCTAAGACAAACTTGCCTATTTCTGAGCAACACTATGTTTTTTTGACAGAAGACACTGCAGTTGTCTCTGTCTCACATCTACATGTCCACCAGGCCTTCCTATTGTCTATACATGTTCATGTATGGATAGTAGAATTCAGAAAAAATAGGGTAAAAAATTGGCCAGGGGAGTGGGCCACAATAGAAAAGATTTGCACTGCATGGGCCAATGAGCTCTGATGGTGACCAAACTTCCCTACCCTGGTTACCAAACCTACTTCAGCTGCCAAGTCTCTTTCTGCAAATGGGACAAAAGAGACGTGGCAGCTGAGATAGGTTAGTAAACGGGATAAAACTGTCCAGGCCAATTATTTTCCCACTTTGCTAAATTTTAGGTTGTTAGTCTGGTGGAGACTATGCGACACACATACCCGTCTCCCTAATCGGTCCTTCTCGCTCGTGCAGACTCCCCCACCACGCAGCACCAGCAGCCCTGTTGTAAGGCGCTGTACGACTTCGAGCCCGAGAACGAGGGGGAGCTGGGCTTCCAGGAGGGCGACCTCATCACGCTCACCAACAGAATCGACGAGAACTGGTTCGAGGGCACGGTGAAGGGGCAGTCCGGATTCTTCCCCGTCAACTACGTGGAAGTGGTCGTCCCCCTGCTGTAGATTTGTGTGGCGTCTGTCGTGGTGACTTCTTCATAGGTACAGTCCAAACTGCACAAGACCACTCAACAGGGGACTGATAAAACCTGGTCTATGTGGACAGGTGGTCGCTATAGACTCTTACTGCTTGTGTCAATAGCAAGAATCACTGAAATGTGGTCACATTGGCCAGGTGGTCCTTATGTAGAGGTGGTCACTTGTACAGATTTGACTGTATAGTACTGTGATCTTTGGGCATGACCTTGGAACATTAATTACAGATGCATTTGAAAGAAGTACATGTACATGCACCTAGAAAATCTCATTTTGAAGGTATGGCAAGGAAGATTCAAGTCAGTGATATACATTATTTTGTGAATAGCGCCAAGCTCTTAGTTAAATGTTGGTCCACCCAAAGGAGTATTGTACCCGTACCTGTAGTGTTTGCCACACATCAAGGGCTTCTTTTGCAATAGAGAAAAACTACAAAAAACTGAAATAGTATCTAAATGAATTATTATTAACTTCACCTCGATGGGTAAACAGTTAAAATTGAAGTGGAAAGATTTACCCAGTAAGTGAAAATCTGTCCTGATGTGGTGTAGTGATACTGTATTAGTGAACTAGAGTTTTTCCCTGACATGATGTGCATGTGGTGATATCACTGAATGGAATCTCCCTTGTTGATATAAAGCAATCTGCTGGTGTCAGTCTAGTGTCGTACCTTGCATGTTCAAATAGAAACACATACAGGTCTGTGATGCAGTCTGATTATACGTCATAAATGTCATGTTCTACAGTTTTGTTGTACATGTAGAGAACTGCCAAGTGATATTAGATGTATAGGCCTCCTATCCACTACATGGAGTTCACTGAGTGACCAAAATTGGATATTTGGAGCAGCCAACCTATGATGATTGTGTTTGATCCTTGGTTTTATAATTGAAATATAATACATAAGATTAAAGATTCAAAAGACAACAAGACACACAAAAAAGATTCAGTTCTGAAATTCCTGGAAATTAGCCTGTCAAATGGTTGCTCAGCAGTCACAACCTCTAGTGGAAAGAGGGTTGTATGGAGATGCTCCAAATCTAGAACTTCATCACCTAGTGGCATTTGAAACTGGAATGATTTTTTTTCTGTTAAATTATTCCCACACTGCATTTCGCAGTTCAGGGATGTGTTCCATTCTTTTTAAGCAGTACCATGTACATATATTATGTGTTATGTATTGGTTGCTGTGTTATGTACATTATTGTGTACAATAGAGCCATTTTGATGTACCTGAAAAGCAACTCAGTAGGGCCACACCGATTTATTTATTTGGTTCTTGGACATTTTAAGTGAAAATATAGCAGGGTGACATCATGAATCAAAGTAGAGGGTAGGGAGGAAAGCTAAAATATGACTAAATTCACTCCACAAAACTGAGTGCACCAAGGCACAAACCTGGTCCTCAGGCTACGTAAGTATGTTTTTCCAGTTAAGCCAAGAACCAACCAATTAAATTGGTGTGGCCAAGTGAAGAAAATCTGTCTTGTGTAGTTGAGGCAGAACCTTGCCAGCTTGGCCACGCTAGATAGAACAAAAACAGGTTGAACAAAAATTTTGGAGAAAGATAGAGTTGACTATTTTATTGACTGAGAATGGGTAACAAGTTGCTTGAGCTGTGTGACTGAAAATATTATATGTGTTACATAGATGGACTTATGTTACACAAAATACATAATGTCCTATACTCCTTTGGAATCAAACTGGTGATATGAAAAAAAAATTGATAAAAGAAACTAGTTTGTATGTAGAGCAATAGAAAAAGTTACAAGTGAGAAATTTTACCGAGCTGCAAGTCAAGGAATGAATGAATGATTCAAAGGAAGTGTGTGTATTATGGGACCACTGGAGGTTTAATGCACCAGTGAACTGGAAATTTCCAACCTGCTCGAAGAAGAGTTCAGCTTAACTGTTGTAATTCCAATTGCTACATGTATGTTTAGACTGAATCCATGGTGTGCTGTTACGGGTCGTCTCACTTGTTGTTTTACATCATCATGTTCATCAGATACCGGTATATACAGTTGATACACATCATAGTGGTGTATATGGGATCCTCCTGTTTACCTTCACTCTTACCAGCTGTAGGCTCCTCTTCGACAAAAGTTCTCAAGTTAAGCTGGCATCACACAGTGAAGAACATTTGGCTGAATTTGCTATTGCCAGACTGTCACTGAATCTCAAAATTGCCAGAGTCAAGCGTATATTTAGTCTGACTGTCAATCTATGGTACCTTTTACATTCTATGGGGCTCTGTGACCTGCAAACATCAACAGTTTCCCAAAACTTGTGCAGTGATTAAGAGGACACCAGCCGAAAATGTCCTCTTGTTCACAGACTCGTCGGCTGAGCTTTCTTCCTGCTGTGTGATGCCAGCTTTAAGGTGTTGATGTTAACACGTAGTTGGTATGATTCTTTGTAGTTACACTAGATATTAGGATATAGCCAGCAGTGAACAAGTCTAAATGAACTTACATGTAGCTGAGCTGAATTGTTATGTATGTTTGCAATGTATAATTGCTGTAGCTTTGTGTTTCTTCTTGTTTGGGAACCATTTGAAGACATCAGGACCAACATTGCAGGGCTCTTTAAACAGATGTTATCAAGTACTAAAACATTGAATGTCAAGAATTGAGCAGAGCTGCTTGCAAAGCAAAATTGCTTCTCAAAGACAGTCTGTTTGTTAAATGTAAAAGCATAGTCCAATGTTTTAATACTTCTGTAGTGAGCCCAGCAATGTATGGTAGGACACTAATAGCAAATGTGTGTGTATATAACTAAGCCTCTTCTCCTTGGAGAGTGAAGACTTGGTGCCACTATGAACTAAGGATTTGTTTCTGTTGCACTGTCTAGGAATACCCGAGATGTGGGTATATTGCGGTGACGGCACTGCGATGTTGATATAAATGGAAAAACAAACTTTCCCCAACACATCATTCCCATCTTCTGTTGGCTGAGAAAACCAACACAAGAACCCATAAAGGCAATAACCAGTACGACAAAAAACTGTAACATTAAGCTACACGGCCAGCTGCATGTCTTAGTTTTGTTTCATTTGTGTAAAAATTCAAGCTATCCATGTCGTGTTATTGTTCCCTGTGGTTGAACTAAAGAAACAGACTGACTTCCAGCTTGCAAATATTTATGTACCTTGTGCTGCAGCATGGGTAGAGCAAGTCCGTACATTTTTCCAAAATGACTTGCAATTTCTTTGATAGTAAAGCTATTGTATTATATAATCCATACTTTATTTTAGCAGCTTATTCTTGCTGATTGTGAATACAGTAAATGCAGCTAATGTGAACTGATTTAGTGTGGATTTTCTTTTGTTAACCGTTCTGAAAATTCTGGTAATGCAACAGTCACAGTTTCTGCCCAGGGCCTGGCCATTGGTTTGATATAAAAGTATGATATCAAAGACAACAAAACACAAAGTTGTAAAAAATAATCTCAAGCTATTTGTGTACATGTATATCATTGATAAAATATACGGATTTGTTATTTTGGCTGATGCAAACTGCCTGGCCGGGCCCGGTTTGGTGACTTTAGAACACCACACAACAGTGGGATTAATGGTGAATCTATATGACTGATGTGTTACAGGAGGGTGGGAAAGGAAACCAATCTTTTCTCTTACTGCTGTTTTATACATGGTCGGAAATTCAAGCTAAGATCCAGCAAGGTCCTTGCCTATGGCATTCTTTCAAGTCACATTCATTCATCACTTCATTCATCACTTTGATTTGAAGATGCAAGAGACAATTGATTTTTGGTCGATAGTTGTTTATTTTTGAAGAAAAAAGTAAATCTGATAATGTGGTCCTTAAAAATACATCCACCACCTGCCCCTTTCTTCTTGTTTACTATTCATTTGGCATCCTTTTTCCACAAGGTAAAGCAGATAGAACCCCTTCCACATCAATATTTTCCGTCTATTTGTTCAGTTAGTCCAACAAAAATTAGTACTACAAATACTTAAAACGCTATATCTACACAACAAATGTTTGGTCAGATATAGCGTTTCAAATCTTCCTTATGTCATTTACCATCAAAGGTGAACTTTCAATCAAAAAATTAGTACTTTCGTGACATCAGTTAACATTTATATCACATTTTTTTAGTTCACAATATTACACATATCTGACAATGGTGTTAGTTCAACACGAGCCCTGTTATTCAATATCATGTAGTCACCACCAGACTCAAGTGGGTTGCTGGAAATATAGTAGGAACTGGACAAATAGACTGAATAATGACATATTGGAGGGGTTAGCTGGCAACAGAATCACAACTTGTAGCCCACAACTTAACACTTACTCCTCTGGTAACTATTATTCAGTCTATTTGACCGATTTCTACTATTTTTCCAGCAGCCCATTGGAGTCTGGTAGAGTCTATTCATCACCACGATCACTGCACTATATAAAAGCCAGAAGTACACATGGACACCAGCGCCACTCCGTGAAACCTGCATTTACAAGGGCTACAACAGCAGCGTGGCAGGGCAGGGTAGTCAATTTACAGGGGGTAGAAAAACGGGGGCTGCTGCGTCCGAACCGTACAAAAAGAGTAATAAAACGAGTGCCGAAGCGAGATACAACATTTGCAGCCTACGCAGGGCGATAAAACT